TGACAGCACACGGATGTTTATAGTTGGCACTGAGACTTCAAGGACTTTTCAGCTGCCGTGTTCTTGCCAGTGTGCAGGAGCACAACAGGATAGGGGGGAGCATGGCTGGGACAGAATCCATGACTCCCCTTAGGATTTGTGCTTAGACTTAGGATGGAGGGCTAAATTGGCCAATTAGTATTCCATATTGTGCAGCATCATGCCTAGTATAAAAATGAAGGACAGCCAGAAAGAAGGGCTTTTGCTTTTCCGAGGCTCTCACTCTCGGACTCATGGAGTGCGCGCTCTCTCTCTCTCTATTTTCGGGCCTCTCGCTTGTCCGGGATTGCGGTGTAGGGGCTTACTCATTAGTCGGGGACGGGACACACCTTGGTCAAGGGGTGGTGAGCAATTACACTGTGCATCACTTGTTTGTATATATTATCATTGTACATATATATATATATATATGTTTTCATATCTTATTAGTAGCAGTATTATATTGTTCTTATCTCAACCCACAGGTCTCTTTTCCTTTTCTCCTTTAATTCTCTTCTCCATTCCCTGGGGGTGGGGGATGGTGAGCAAGTGGCTGTGTGGAGTTTAGTTGCTGGCTGGCCTAAACCATGACAATAAGCCATATTGATATACAGGAATTTATTATGCAGATGAGGGAAAAAGGAGGAAGGTTATTTTAAATGTGCAGTTCCTGTTGGCATTTGTATCATTTAAGCAGCTAGAATCTATGGGAGGAAAAAAATTTAGTAAATCACAAGTGGCAAAACTAATCAACACAATTTTACTGTAACAAATTATATCCTGCAGACCTTTGAGACCTACATTGATTCCAAATGCAAAAGAACTATGGGATTAAGTGTATTTTCTAAAATAAATTTAAATGTCTCTTTTATCCCATGTATTCTTTTCTGAAGTACAGCCTTGAATCAGAGCTGGATGCAAAGAGAAAAAAAAAGGGAGGGGAAGTGGGGAGTGTCTAGATTATTTGTGTGATGAGATCGTTTGAACTTCTGTATCATTCGGCTCTAGAAAGGCATTGCATTGACATCACAAAAGGATTGTTACTGAAAATTTCTGTGTATGAAAACGGACAAGAATAACCCTTAATCACATCAAGGCTCAGTTGTCAGAGGCCCAATGAGCTTACTTCATGTCGAACTTATGTTACTTTGTGTTGCAAACCATGATATTTCCTTTGTGAACTTTCATATCAAATGCTGTGTTTATTTTTTTAAAGCACAACTCCAAGTCAGTATTAATTTAATAATTGTATGTTTTTATTGATATTTACTGACTGTCCCAAGCACTTGGCAGTGGAAAACTTGTTGTTTAACTCAATGTTGTAACTGGGTATATCTGTGAACACATTCTCATGCACAAGTTTTTAAAAATCATTCTTACTAATGTCTGAAATAAAATTTAAAAACAAAACAAAAATGAATAGATCAGGTACTAATGTTGCAATTTAAACCTATTTGAATTTTCTAATGTCCTTCGATTTTTCATAGGTTTTAAAGGTATGATTTTTATACATCTTTTAATCTTGCTGAATATATCTGCCTAATAATAATAATAATAAAATTAATTTTAAACCTGATTTAAAAAAAAAAAGTGTTTAAAGATGTGGTGGGGAATAGTTGTCATTTCTGGCTTTCTTGAAGGTCTAGGACTGTATAATAAGAAACCCATTTTTACCTGTCATGTCTTCTTTTGTTGTCCCACTTCCTTTTTACCTTAGTCTTGCTGGCCTGTTCTTGTGAGATGCCCTGCTTATGAGAAATTTCAATCCACTACATTTTTTCCTTTCTACAGTCAGCCCTCCACATAAAGGAAGGAGCACTCCATGCCAGCCACATATGTTCCTAAGAACTGTGGATCATTCTTTATTCTGAAAAAGATCTTATTGCCTCCAGTAAAAGGTTGCTTATGTACATGCAGAATGAAGCTAGTCGAGTTTTTTGTTCTAAGTAAAGTGTGTTAAAGAATTTATTTGGCCCTATAGAAAATGTTCTTGCCCATTGACATTAAGATTTCACTGCACTCTCATCTAACCAGAAGTTGTTACTCGGAACGTACTCTATAAAGTGGGCAATAACCTCTGTTTTTACTGAAACCATGTCTTGCTCTGTCTCATGCAATACAGATGTAGTAGCAGACTCTCTGTAAGCGCTCAAGTCTGGGTTGACAGAGAAATTTAGGAGTTCGCAGAGAAATTTAGGTCTTTAAGTCCCATTGAAGCACCTTCTGAATGTCTTTCAGGACCTAGTACTGCTTTCTTACACAGAGAAAAATAGTCACACTGCAACAGACCAAAAATATTGTAAAGGAGATGCAGGATTTCTGTGATTGTATTTATGAGAGTTAGCTGGTTCAGTGAAGGAGAGCATGGATTAGCGTGTTGAGAAAAGGTTTAATGGATAAGCCGAATGCCTGCCAACTGATATTAAAAGAGAAATTCTTTTTGTAGTGAGCTTGACTTAATTACTTTTGTTTCTGAGAGAACCCCAAACTAGCAGGTGAGCTTCCCTGTCTTGTGAGTGTAAACTTCTTTTAGGCTTGAAAGAATGGGAGAACTTTTGGGAAAGGGGCCTATCTTTAGGTTAAGAAATTGAGATAACTGACCTGTGTGACTCCAGCCTATGTTTAGTCATCAGCTTATTGTTAATAAACAGATCAAAAATCATTGTTTTGTTAATATTTCTGTCTCTTTAGCTTTAGGTGTTTTTTTTTGGTTTTGTTGTTTATATTAACTCAGCGGCTCTTTATCAATTTTGGTTTTAGATCCTGTACTGAACATGATTCAAGTTTTATGTTTATGAATCTGTATTCATAGGAATACAGAACTGGCTATTGATACTTTTTGTTGGCACTGTGATGTAAATTATGAGAACTGGGAATATACTTACAGGTAAATTAATGTCTATGAGTGACTCCAAACCACCACAGTGCATTGTTTAATATTATTTGATGAATGACTGACGTGGTGTGTTTCCAATATTTTATCTTTTCCTTTTAGTTTATCCAAGTAACCAATTGTACATGGCAGACATCTGAGGTGGGACAGACACTGGTACATGAGTGTGTGTCGGCTAGTGCTTAATTAGCTCTTTTTACAGTGGGAAATAGCAGTTTCCCACAATGGATCTGTTACATGGATGAAAAAAGGAGATGACTTTCCAGGAATGTGATACGGATTCAGGCTAGTAAAGCTCCTCTTGAATATTTTTGCTTCGTTTTGCCTGTTGCCTCAAATAAGCAGCAAGGCTCCTAAATGTTCATCGTTTTAGTTGGAGATATTAACCCAAATCCAAATCGCTGTTTTCCTTACAGCTGGACTTAGAGATACAGATGATGATTTTTACAAATGCCCCTTAAGATTAGGTCCATGCTTTATTACATGTGAATCCTTGTGGTATTATAGCCTGTGTGTTTCTATAGTGCCTCTCACTTGTCCCAGAAAGCCAGTGGTAACAAGATGATACTGGAGAAGGTAGCTGTGGTCAGCAGGTACCTCATTCAGACTGTGGCAGCATTTCTGAGCAACAGTTACAGAGTAATGATTGTCTAGTGTGTGAGATTTACCAGTCCTATTGCTGGCAGTATGAAAGTGCTGTTGACTGGGTGGAGCATCTTGCCAGCTGTTAGTCATACGTATTTTTTTCCTTAATGTGTCTTTACATTGAAAAAAGATTCCAACATCTGTTTCAGAAAGTCAAATAAATATGAAGCCATGTTAGGTGGGATTTTAAACACAGTACTGAAAATTTTGCAGAGCAGTTGCTTACTCTTGGACTGCCTTTTATTCAAAACATGTATTGGAGAACTATTGATCTACTGAACTTCTGTTTACGGTAGCATTACTTCAGTAAGCTGGGGGCTTACTCTAGCTTTCTACAATATTATAATGAAGTTTGTGTAAGATGCACTCTTTTTATGCCTGACCAAAGAGTTTTTATGAAACTAATACATGAAGCAAAAACTAGAATGAGTCAGAAAGTGACTGTAGCTAAGAAAATGAGAAAGCAGAATGATGGCACTTGTTTACTGTCACTCCTAACACCATCAAACCGAGCTGCTTCTTTCTACTAGAGGTTGGCCCAACCCGTCTGACCTGTACAATTTTTTCAGTAGCCAGCGAATTTGGACAAAGACTTTGTATGAATCCTACTCCTTGCCTTACTGTGTGAGTGATAAGAGCTTTCTTCCAAAACACACTTTACTGGATAATTCTATTATCCATCAACACGGAACAATGGAACTGCACTTGCCAGAATCTACGTCTTGGGTAATTATTTCTGCTTTAATTTAAATTAGTTTCTAAGCTTCTGTTTTCTTCTGGCAACAGGCCCAAGTCTTTGGTAACTGGACACAAGCCTTCACATATCCTTAATTAACAGTTCTTTTTAAATCTTACTTCCCTTTTTAATATATCTATCTTCCCACTCTTAGTTTTTTTTTAAACTCATTCTATTACATCCTTTCAGCACCAATTTCTATAATTTCTTCCATTCTTTTTTTCCTGTTTACTGGGTTTCTAGTCCTAACACGTGTCGATTACTACTGCAAGAAGGTTTATCAAAATTCTACAAACTGTGTGTTTATCCGACTGATATATTGTGCCATGTTCTTGTGCAATTATCTCTAGAGGCTGATGAAAATGGTTTAACTCACTGAGTTCACTCCAAGTCTCATGCCCCAGACAAATTACATATGCCTTCTAACCAATCTGGATAAACAAATACTCTGAGGAAGAATATGAGATATCTTTTTCATAGGATTTAACTTCTTCGACCTTCCAGAACCTCAGGCAATTGTATATATAACTATTCTCCACCTTACTAAAGATAAATCTCTCTCTTTTCAAATATGTATGTTCACACACATGCACTTATTTATTTATAGCTAAATAAGGTCATAAAAAGCCCAAAAAAAAAAATCTAGAATGTTTTAACTATTTCATTGACTTTTCAGATTGTTTTTAAGCTGTTTTTTAAACTTTAAAGGCAACACTGATAGTGAACGGTTCCAAATGGTAAAACAGAAAATCCCCTTCAAATATAACCGGCCTGTAGAGGAGTGGCTGCAGGAAAAAGGTAACAGTCATTATAACTTTCATTTTAAACCCATTTGATTCTAAACCCTCATTTTTAAAGCCTGCAAATAAATGTTTCTTAAATGATAATCGCCTGCTGCATAAATGACTGTTTTAATTTTCATTATAATTTGTGTCAGCTTCCACCTGCCATATGTTGATAAATCATGCTATAATACATTGCTATTAAAATGCAGTTAAAGGGACGAAATTCTAAGCTTGCTATCATAGTAATGACAAACAAACAAGCAAAAATTCAGGAGACATTTTCTAAAAAAAACCAAACAAACAACAAAACAAAGAAGAAAAGTGAAGACCAACAACATGTATTATGGCAATTTAACCACTGCATGATTTTCCTATTTTGATTTGGTTTTAAAGTACATTTATATCTTTATTATCAAAGTTTTCTTAAAAATTTTCAAACCTACTTGTTAAACCACTTTCTGTAAGTTTCTTTTTTCTCATTAGTCTGATTAGCCACTATGGCTATGTGTTTCCTAATTGTATTAAGATAATTAAATGATTTTAAAAAATGTTGTAAAGAAAACATTTTTTAACATTTTCATTTAAACTACTGTGAAGGAGACAGAGAAAGATGATTGTTCTGTTGCTTTTATACTATGTCTGGAGTACAGTTTGAACACTCAAATGATACATTTGTCAAAGTTATGCATCAAGTTCTTCCCTACTTGAATCTCAGGCAGTGCTATTTAATTTTGTGGGTTTGCCTGGAGTAATTGGCCTCAGTTCAGCAAAAGACTTGTTAACATGCACAAGTCCACCTGGCTTGAATGAGAGTTCAGCATACACTCAGCGACCTGTTGAAACAAGACTTGTGCCGGAACAGTAATGTTCTTTTAACAGGAATTTGGAGGGGGAAAAAAATCTTGGATGTGAAGCCCATTCCAAAGCCTGTTGAAGGTAACAGAATAACTCTTACTGATTTCAGCAGGGTTTGAACTGAGCTCTTGGTAATAGTGGAGCATAAGTCAGGAAGACCTTCTCCTTTTGTACTAAATGCAGTATTTAAAAAAAAAACAAAATCGCTGTAACTATCTCCTTGACTTGAAGTCCAGAAAAAAACAGAACATGATCTTCTCTTGTTTCCTTTTAAGAAAGTACTGCTGGTAAAAGGACGTGACCTTTGAACTCAGATCTTGCATTTTCTGTGCTGACTTAGACGATAGTTATTACCAATTTTCCAAGAGGGAGAACCAATGTTTTGTAGGATTGGAAAATTACAATTTATGTTCAGTTCCAAACTTCTATCCTCAGCTGAATTAAAAAATTGATTTAGCCAGTATGAATTAAGTTAAGATCACAAAGGATGTGTCTAACTACAGTCAAAATATTTTTATGTGGAGGATTTGGTCTTGCAAAGTGTTCTGCACGCTCAGTTCCCATTGACTTCAATGAGAGCTGACAGTGTTGCCCACTTTTCAGGTTTGGTCTACAACAGTATGATGTTTGTAACTAAAGCTAAAGTATTTGTGAAAGAAAGACAAAAATATTTGAGTAATTAAAAGAGAAATATTTTTTTGGCCACCAGGGTTTTATGGAATAGTTAATTCAGATACCTTGTAAATAAATTTTAAGATAAATGCACATAGAAAATGCTTACTGAGTCTCAGTGGGTTGCCCTGTTAATTTACAAGATCAAACTAAAATAAATAAATAAAGCTTAACACTAAAAAGAGGGTAATTTTGGTAAGTTTGAATCGCTAAAGTCCCTTTAACACTAAAGACAATGATTGCCTCAATTTTGTTAAAACAGATGCATGTCTAATTCCTTGATGCAGTTCATGTGCTTGAGACTCATCTTAGTTTCTTTTGTGGTTTTGGTTTGGTTTAGTTTCTTTTCCTTTTTGGTTTTCCACTAAGTCTTTTATTTTATGTCACTGCTTCTCCAAGTTTGAGCTTATAAGCATGCCAAGGCACTTTCATTTGTAAGCCATCTTGAAGTTTTGAACTGAAGTCTACCTTTTGTGGATATTGATGCTTTGTTAAAAGACAATCACACGTGCAGAAGGGTCAAAAAGTGACAATATTTGAGTGTTCAGACACTTTCAAAGCACTGCATGTTTTTAGGCTAGAAGGGTAGAACCATATTTTTACTGAAGAAAAGGAAAGGAAATTCAGTCTTCACGCTTTACGTTAGGGAATGACATTGTGCAGTGCAACACGTGAGACAATATGGCTTTGATCCTTTGTTCCAAAGAAGATAGATGTTTTCAACAACTTAGGTACTACTCAAATTAAAAAATAGTAAGAATGAATAATTTACCTAACTGTTCATCAACTTGCTCATCCATCTGGTCATCCATCGAATAATTAATGTAACGTGGAAGCCTTCTGTCAGAAGACTTAATAAAGATGATGAGTGAAAGGGTAGTTTGCTATCAAAATGGAACAAGATGAACTGATGGATGGAGGAATAGATAGATTCATCAAAGAGATAGCATATAGAATAGCTGTCTTGCCCATATGAGTTCTTGGCTTGAGTGGGGTAAGATGAAATACTTTTTGATTGACATTTTTGAATACCATAGATTTTGTTTTCCTTTGGTACCACTGTTATATTATTCATAATAATGAAATAGTTCATTCTTGGAAAACAAATATAACACAACATCTTTCTGAAGTGGCATCATTATTGTTTTTTGAGGGTTTTTTAAATTTTATAAATTGATTTAAAGCATTTTTAAGAAGGGCCCAGGTTAACCATCTTGAATTATGTGATGAGTAATAAGCAAAACATTGAACACTATTAACTTCACTGAGATTATTTATGTGAGTAAAAAAAGAAGTGTTAGTCCAAACTTGTTCAACTTAAGGAGTCACAAAACCAGCAGATTCCCTTAGCAGAATACATGTTGTCTGCTAAGGCACAGATGTTACCTATTCTGCAATTGGATGAGCTAATAAAGATCTGGATGCATCTCATCAAAAGGACTGATCTTGGAAGTCCCTAATTCTTCAAATCTCTTTCTTATGTGTGAAGTCTTATTGATATGACTGACTGTACTTTTGAAGCAAGAACTGTTAGTGTGAATTAGGATTTGCAAAATCAGGCCTGAAATCTCTCCTAGTGTTACAGAAAAGTTACACTTCGCTAAGATTTCCTTGTGATATTTTTGATATTCAGTTTTCCAAATGAAGAAGTCAATGAGAGAGCAAAGAAATGAGAGCTTGAACTATTCAGAATATTTACAAAACACCTCAGAAACTTAAAATGTGCTCATCATTTTTCTCCAGTAAGACACTAAAATAGCAGTATGAAGAGTTCTCTATGGAAAAGGACTGCAAGTCTGCAACCCTTACACACCTAGTAGAATTTACTGATGTAAACAGTTCCTCAATCAAATTCAGTGGCCAAATAAATCTTTCTCAGAGGAAGTAAGGGCTTCAGAACCATATCATCAAAAGAATGATTAGAAGAGACCTATGGTGGCAGAATTACATGTATATTCTCTCAACAGTTTTCTCTCATTCCATATGCATTTCCCTGTTGTCTTTATTCATGCGCGTGTACACACATCATAGGGTGAAGAATGAGAAATGACAGGTAGTAGGTGACTCCAACAAGTGATTGTTCTTTTAGCAAACATAGTTTTAGTAGCAGTGCTGTCTCCAGCATTAACCATATTGTGCAGTGCATGAATCCTGGACTGGAAGACCACGTAACAAACAAGGAAACAAACAAAACACACAATCAAGTTCCTTTCTTACTGGAGTGGAGCCACCTCCTTTGTGTACACTTTCTTTCAGTGTTAGAAGATGCAGAGAAAGGCTCAGAAATGGAGAAATGATCTTTTTTCCAGCCTTAATAGACTAACTCCTCATCCTTGAAATTAAAGCAAGAGATATGACAGACATGTCTAAAGCTGTGCTATGAGCTTTTATTTTACCTTTGGTAAAATATAAAAAAAAAGTACAGTATTGATTCAAGGGGAGAAAGGAATGGGCACGGAAAGTGGATCCATTTTCACAGATAACATCTCAAGATTAGTGAAATAACTTTCTGTTCTTTACTCATCTCACCTCTACCTTTTGGCGTTCTATCATGAGTGAGGTAGGAAGGAGGGAACAGTAACAGGTGAAAAGTCTGGGTACATAGGGGCAGTAACAGTATGAAAAGAAATGCAGTGCTTGTGAGAGGGAACGTATGAGGAGAAGGGAAAATCATGTAGTAAAGGACAGACAGGAAGTCCAATAAAAAATCCAAAGCACAACAGGACAGAGAAGAAAAGCAAACTCTGAGGACATGGTATATGATAAGAGTTTGGCCTTCTACAGTGTACAGTGCCATTTCATCTAGCTCAGACAGGAGCTGAGCTGAGAGGGCTGAATATTTTGGCAGACACTGTTATTGGATCCTATTTTCCTCATAGACAAGAGGAAAGGCTCTGTTTTTACATACTGAGGATATGTGGCTTCAGTGCATGTTTGTTGATGTTTTAATAGACATACATTGCCTCTGGTAAGTTTAAAACCTCCTGAGATGCAGAATATTGCATCAGGTGTTTCAACACTTTCCAGGGGAAGGATACATTCCATTTTTCTTTCTCATTTCTTTCCCATTTTTTATTTCATCATAGCAGTTGCTCCACCCTGATCAAGTCCTAGTGTTTCATTTACAAATCTGAGGGTGAGGAGCACAAGGGATGTGCAGCCCACCTGTCCATATATCACACCTCTTCATACACTTTTGCTTAGTTAGCTAGGGCCCTCTTTGGGGACAGGAACTCCTTTCAGATACATGTCTTCTCTTGTCCCCATTCTCTTCCCCATGGTCCATCCTGTCACCATAAGATGATGCAACACCGCATCACCACTTGACTTCGAGACCCGTCACGACGACCACCAAAATTGGTGAGCTCCCCCTCGCATTTTGATCTACTCTAACCACTGGCTGTGAAGGAATGAGCAGTGGGTTATAGGCTGTGCTTTGCTACATGGTGGCATTTTGCACCTCTCATCAGGGTGAACTAGAGAGAGGAAGTGGTGAGTGAGAACTGGGGAGCGGGGATGGGATTGGGGACATATGGGGCAAGCTTCATAAAAATGGGAGAACACAGTAGATATTTGAATAATAATTGACTTGATGCTGCATTGATAATCCTTCTAAGCTCAGCCCAGTCTGGTTGTCTGTTAATTCAATGAATTCTAAGTGGCATGCCCCTGATCTTTTAAGGAACAGTGAAGTTATAGGCACTGCCTTTGCACTGCATGAAGCAATGTATTTCTTAACATAGTCAACCTAGTGCAGCCTGGGACATAAGCGATATTTATAGAGCAGTCCAGGCTGAATTTAAGTGTCCTGCAAAACTAGGTGAATTAGCAATTGTTACTAGATCTATTTTTAATAAATATATTTTTCATTACATATGATATTAGACCACTCTTAACACTCAAGATGTGACGTTAAGTAAGCCATTTAACCTGCCTACATTTGAATTTCACTGTCTATAAGAGGGAAGTCACATGTAAGGCATTCTGGGGCTTAACTATCTGAAGCACTATGTTATCCTCGCTTCTTCAAAAACTTTGCTCTTTCAGAGACATCACAAATGTTTGCATTTGGTGTTTCTTTGGTTTAGATTTGTGAGCCTTCACAACACAACTTAGCAAGCAGGTGGAAAATCATGACTGATCCTGTCTTAAGTAAGGTTCCTACACAATCTGTATATCACCATCACTTTTTTTCTGATATTTTACTGTCCTAAAGCCACCCCTTGAAACCTTTTTATTATTAAATGTGGCTTTATGAGTTAATCCCATCCTTTGACCAGTCAAAATAGGTTTATTTACGGGCTAAAGCTTGACAGGTACTGCAATCTGAATTGATAGTAGAAAAATAGCCACACACTGAAGCCTTATTTGTATTTTAAAATGGATCCAACTCTAAAAGAGTGAGTTCAAATTTCTGACTGAGTCAAAGCTCCTCCAGAGTTTTGATGTGTGTGTGGATGTTGAAGTATGAGATTCAGTTCTAGCTGTTCTTGCTTCCAGGCTAATCTTCCTTATTAATGAGCTTTAGGCAGTACATTTCCATACTGTGCTTCTACAGTCATCATAAACACTACCAAGAATGAATCTACTTCTTTGTTGTCCGTCATTTCTGGCTGGGACTCAATATAAGTTGCAAAGTGAAGGAAATGTCTGGCAATAATGTTATTCACCCCCCTTCACTAGGACGACAGTTAACGATCTTCAACACCCAGGCGCAAATAGCCATAGGAGGGAAGGACAGAGGACGTCTCTTCCAAGGCCAGCTCTCCGGTCTCTATTACAATGGCTTGAAAGTGCTGAACATGGCAGCAGAGAATAACCCCAACATTAAAATCAATGGAAGTGTCCGACTTGTTGGGGAAGTCCCTTCCATCTTGGGAACAACACCCACAACCTCTGTGCCACCGGAAATGTCTACTACAGTCATGGAAACCACAACTACGATGGCCACCACTACAACCCGAAAAAATCGTTCACCACCCAGCATCCAGGTAAGCCAATTAGTCTCCTGTATTTCCTTGAGTTCTTAATTAGTCTTTTGTTTTGCTGCTTACTTGTAAGTTCACAAGAGCTGTGTTCTCTGAATCATGCTCCATATATCTCTTGATTTTAATATTGTTGTATAGGGTAAATCACCACAAAATGTTGTCTTCTTGTGTTGGTGAACAAATAGCTGAATGAGTTATTATGACACATGTACTAATGGGGACAAGTTTTGCTCCTGTTCCAGTGCAACTCCATTTATGTAAGTAAGATTGCCCCAATGTGAATGAGAACATGTCTTTAGCTATGTTTCTGCAATTCTATATGTGGGGAAATGTATTCTTAAGAGAGTTACAAAGCTTAATGGGGGGTGGGTGTATGGTTATTTATTATTATGACTGTATGTACTGCTGAAACTGTGAAGTTCATAATGGGGAGAAAAGCAGTGGAGCATTACTTCCAGGTAGAGCCATTTTTCATTTTCCTTTTATAGCCTTCCTATAGCAAATTTTAAAGAAACACTGTCGTTTTCAGTTTCTTGAAAAATGTAGCTGTTCCAACATAGAGCAGTTTCAATGTCTTTGGTTAAAAAAAAAAAAAAAAAAATTGGATATTCTAGCTTAATTGTGCCAATGTAGTGTTTTCAGTCTTAAAAATGCAATGTTTTTGGAACCACTTGTGTGGCAGCCAGAACATGGTACTGATTAGAAATGAACACCTTAAATCAACTCTCCTTGTCTGTACAAAGAAAAGTATCATGTAAATAACCAATCTGAGCAGTGGATCAGATTTTGAAAATTATTTATTTCAGTGGCATGCCATCATGTTATCAACTAGGATGAAAAATTTGTTTTAAAATCTGTATTTACATCAGAACCTCATCCTGTAGAAATCAACATACTTTAATTGACACCAGCATATACTGACTGAGGCACTGGCAAGTGATTATTGATCAGAACGTGCATTTGTTAAACCTCCAGAGAAAGGTATATCGTTGTCTAGTTGGAGAAAAAAAATAAATTATTCCATCTGCTTCCCTGAAGCAGTTTCTACTGCTTGGGACAGAAGACCTTAATGAAATCAAGGCTTTGAAATCTGTAATCATACAAGTTGCATGCTAGCTTTCTACATGCTTCAGAAGGATTATTAAGTTATTGATTGTGTTTGTATATATATGACCATTGTCTTTATTTTGAATCTAGTCCTAGTCACTTAGGATAAGAAAGCACAAAAATCGTCCTCTGAATTGTGTCGGAGGTCAGGCCGCATCTGGAGTATTGTGTCCAGTTCTGGACTCCCCAGTACAAAAGAGAGTTGTTGCTACTGGAGTGAGTCCAGCAAAAGGCCTCTAAGATAGTTAAGGGACTGGAGCGTCTCTTCTATGAGAAAAGGCTGAGAGAGGTGGGACTGTTCAACCTAGAGAACAGAAGGTTCAAGGAGGATCTTATCAATGTGTACAGATACCTGAACGGAGGGTATAAAGACAACAGTGGTGCCCAGTGACAGGACCAGAGGCAGTGGACGCAAACTGAAACACAGGAGACTCCCTCTAAACATCAGGAGACACTTTTTTACTGTGAGGGTGACCAAGCACTGGCACGAGTTGCCCACATAGGTTGTGGAGTGTCAATCCTTGTAAGTATTCAAAAGCCATCTGCACAGCGTCCTGGGCAACTGGCTCTGGATGACCCTGCTTGAGCAGGGAAATTAGATCAGATAATCTCCAGAGGTCCCTTCCAACCACAACTGTTCTGTGAGGTACCTCTGGCTGCAGTGGAATTTACATCTATTAGAGGAATTAATTCTAAGCCGTGGCTTAACATTGCCCCCTTTGGTACTCTCTAAATCCAGTTGGCAGCAGGACTGGGATTAATTGAGTTATTAGCCTCAAACACCCAATGGGCGATTTATGAAGTCTTGGTTAAATGAGGGGAAATTATGCCTCAGGTTTGGTCACTGTTGTCATAAACTTTGAAAGAATTACAGTTCCTTCTCTTCAGTGGCTAGCTCTAATTTTAGAGAAAATCTTTGTCTTCCAGAGATTACACCTCCAGAAGAATAAATTCTGTGGTCCTGATCCTGCTTTTATTAGTTTATTGGAGGTTTTGTATAATGTAAAAAGGCAGGGAAACTGTATTTAGCCATAGGAGTGTAACAGACAGTAGCACTGGACTTTTGTAGGTTGAGTCAAGCTGGAAATGACCCTGGCTTACTTGAAGAGAAAATCTTCCAGAAAGCCTCCTGCCTGACCTATGTGGCAGTTCACTCAGCCCGTAGAGACCACTATGTGCTGAAAGAGCATGAAGAAGATTTAATAAAGTGTCAAAGTGCTTCTAAAAACATGGTTAGGGCAGTGATTTCCTGGATACACATGCACCACAACAAATGGCCTCATCTCAGCTGATATTAAAGCAATAACTCTTTGACACTTCATGCTACCCACTGAAAGAAAGATAAAGGTCAATACGTACCTCCATTACAACTTTCTGCATTTCAATATCAGGCTATTTTATTGCTGTCACAGCACAGATGGCTTGCCTTTCTTCCTTATTCTTGATAGAATTTAATTCTGTCAGCTTAAGTTGCATTACTTGTGCAGTGAAAGTGAGAAGAAATTGTCTTTTTCCGTTTGGGCAGTATCTCCAGCTGTGGTTTTCAGATGCCTAATGGTTATTTTATCTTGCTTGTGTTCGACATCACCATTGTCAAGCCTGCTTACAATTTTAGATCTAAGTGGTGAAAAAATCTAATAGAACAAGTTTGTTCTTTGGGGAACGTAAAATATAGCTACCTAAGGCTATGAGCAGTACAAATACAGTTAGTTATTACCTTGCTCCAGCTTTCTCTTCTCTTCTCTTTCTCTACTCAGAAATAAACAATTTTTCTTCACTTTCAAGGCCTTTCACAGTTTAGCCTGTTTTCCCTATTCTGATCAGCACGATTCAAGCATTTTTTTGCTTGCTTCTTAGATTTGATTATAAGAATCTTTCTGATTCCTGATACCATCCACAAGGCAACAGCAGATTATCCTTCCAATCCCATTGAAACCCTGCTTTCATAATGATGCATGCCAAAAGTTATCAGAGGTTATGCTGGTGATGATCTAAGGCAGCTGTTTATCAAGTTGATCAACATTGTCACTTTTTTTTCCCGTATTATCCATTTTATGATATCTGTGTGTGGTATCTTGTTTTATGCTTAGATTGCAGACTCCTTGAGTTCAAACTGTACTTTTTATTCTGCGAATATACAAAGTACAGAAGGGTTCTAGCCCATTGTACAAATACCAAGCATTAAAAAGTGAAAGTAAAGCATCTAATGCAAAATAGCAAGAATCAGGATAGAGAATTATTATTATTACTGTATTAAGAGTATCTGTGCTATATGTATTACTCATTTTCATATGTAATTAAAGCTTCTCCTTTTTGAAATGCATACAAAGCTTGTGCAGAATAGCAAGTCTGTAATCCCAGAGTAATATAAAATCCAGGGGAATTTTAGTAGGATTTAGATTTACACATCACTTGTTGGGAAGTACAGAAGAGCATGATAGCTGCCAAGATTTCTTCTGTTTGTAATGTACACCAAGATACCTCCTGCAGTTAGGTAGTGTACTGAGTACTGCCAGAAGTGTTTTAGAGCACAGTTAGACTAAAACAGCTGGGAAAATGAAGCGCTTTGAAAATACACAGTATATGCACAGACCAATGACAAACTTTTCAATTTGTGAAGATCTCAAATATGGGATATAGCCTTGGACAAACACCCAAGACAAAGAGAATTGAGAGAAGAATATTACTGGAAATACCCGGTGGCAATTGTATTAGCATTTAAAATGTCTATAACTTCATTTTGTTTTAAATTTATAGTAACATTCCTGCGAGGCAGTGAAACTCGGATCAGTGGAAGGACAGGCAGGATTTGAGTGAGAAACAGTTGAGAAGTATGACTGTGCTGTACTGATAGGAGCGTTTCTGTGATTCAAATATCCTTCAGAGAGGCCTTGAAGGAAGATAACAAAGTCTGACCTTTTCCTGTTGACCGAAAATGAGAGAGAAAAAGGAGTTTCAATTCACGTTTGCAGTGAGTTGCAAATGGTGCTTGTGCACTGCTGCCCCTGAGTAGAAATGCTGATTTGACTTTCTCACACATGGTTTTGTTCTCGATTCAACCACAATCTGTTCAGAAGTTGGCATGC